CGATGTATCACTATTTCATACCTAAACGAAAAACTCACGGAAACGTTAATAATCATAAGTAAACAAACCTACGGTTTTTGATATCATAATCATTTCTATTTGAGAGTTATTCATCTGTATACTTGTCGAGCCATCGTTATTGTAAATTTGCACGAAAATGGGATAGGAATTGCAGGAGTGCCTCGAGACACCCAAATCCTAGAAAAACTTTCATGTTTTCTCCTTGAAGACTCGATGCATTTTTAAAAATCTTTCCAGTAAAACCTTAAATAATTGGGCAATACTTTTACCAAGCAGGAAGAAGAGAGTTTTGCGGTAAAGCTGCGAAAACAAACTTTCCACCTACCACCAAAATATTACTATGGTCGGAACATCCTGAAGAACTAACCTAAACGATGAAAACCACTACAGAAAAAATAAAACTAATTTATAATCAAACATTAACCGAAGTCGAAAACTTTTATCAATAACTTTTCCGCCGAATTCTCGTTGTACATCGGAACTTGAAAACGGGATATAACCGTCTGAAAAGTTAAATATCACACAAAGAAAATTGACCTCCTAAACGAGACGGGATTACTAGGATTCAAGAGGTTCTCTCATAAATAATTTGTCGATGGAATAATCTTAAATATCTACACACAAACACAGGAAACAAACTCAATTTAAACCGTCTTATAGATACAGAACACCCTCTTAGAATCTATACAACATGATTCCAGATATATGTTATCAATAGGAAGCCATATCTGAAAATGACAAAAACTGACTATCGTAACAAATGATAGAAAATAACAAAATACAAAATACTTTGTGTTCTTGAAATGCCTAACACTTTTGAGAATATTCCTGAAATCCGTAATTTAGGTCTAGCACTGTGAGTAGCTTTTCAATAAATTTCACATATCCATACGAAGGAAGAAGAAAGAGAAACGGGCATCGATACAATCTCTAGCGAACACTAGGAAAGGTCAAACTCATTGTCCCTATTATATGAGCGAAACTTTACTTCTAGTATCATCAATATTGTTTCCGAATGCCTCCTTTTTGGATTTTGAGCGACGAACAGATGGAAAAGACAAACTAAAACAAGTTCCTACGCACAAAACGAAAAAAAACGACGTCCTTCTCACAATAAAATGACGTACCGCTTACTTTCACCAATACAAATGTTCTAGCTTTCCATACAGCTAGAGGTATAAGGCGAAGAGTTCCACAGCAGCGACGCGGAATACTTTTCAATTTTTCAAAAGTCTCATCGGCTAAGTATTCGCGTTTCTAGACACTGAGGCGGCGGCTTCTCCAATCATTTATTTTTTTTCACGGTCGCGACTCGATGCGAAAATGCAGTATTTCTTTAAAGTTAAGAAATTCTATTTATTTTAATTTTTGTTTACAATCATTTTAAAATAAGGTATATGAAATAACTGTTTCATTTAGTATGATACGACAAAACATACATGAGTCATAATACAATAAGCGGTTATCACAAAATATACATTAAAAGAACATCAGACTAGAAAAGAATACAAAATAAAATAAACAAAAAAGAATATCAGTCATTTTTTAATAAACTATAATTATCATGGATCATTTATACTTTCCCAACATTTTCCGGCAGTAGCATCGTTCTTTTGGCGTTGAGAACAAGACCTGTCGTGGAGAAAACTTCTTTACTTGGTGTAGATGTTGCTGATATTGCGAGAACAATGTGAGCAAGGCCTTTTAGATGTGGAAATGTATCCTCAGATGATTGCCAAAATCGGAGTACATCATCACAGTGTCTTTAGTTTAAGGTAGCTGTGTATCTCGTCCAAAATAGGATCACGATCAGGTGCTGATGTTGGCCTGTGTTTCTTTATCAGGCTTTGTTGAAGTTTCTTCAAGTTTTTTACTGGAGAATTTAAAGTTTCTACAGACAAATGACGTTCATTGAAGAAGAATATGCTGATGCTGATGAATATCAGCTTGATGGTGATAATGTTAATTCATTATTCATTGCGCATGCTGGTATAGTATGATTGGTTTTGAAGTTTCTAATCATGTCCAATATAACTAATTCTTTTGTGGTTTCACATTTAGCTAAATATCAACTAATATCAATTTTTAATTGAGATGGACCACGTAGAAATGCACAAATATGCCAGATAGTAACGGAAAATCTATCGTATTAACTTTTCGACCGTAAAAATTTTAACTCTTGAATAACCAATGAATCATTTTCATCACTAACTAATAAAGATTCAATTTCCTAAAATACGTTATCAATATAAATATTTTGTTGAATAAATCTTGTATGAGATTTATAGTAGGAGAAAATATTTTAACAACTTCCAGACTTTCCGCATGTTTGAGCCTTTATCTGATACCTA